GTCAAACTTGTTGCTATAAAACTTAGAGGTTATGCATCGCTATGGTGGGAAAACCTCAAAAAAGAGCGAGAGCTTGAAGGAAAAACACAAATTCGCACTTGGGAGAGAATGAAACGAGAATTGCGCAAACAATTCTTGCAAGAGACATATGAAGAAGATTCTTACTTGAAGTTTCATTCTTTTAGACAAGGAGCTTTATCCGTGGACGAGTACACAAGAGAATTTGAATATCTTAGGCTCAAGAGCGACATTAAAGAAAAACCAGCCCGCCTAATTGCTCGATATTTGGCTGGATTAAATAAGCCTATTGCGAATGTGATACGATTACAGCCCCATTGGACCTTTGGAGATGTTGTCAAACTAGCCAAGGTCGTAGAGACACAACAGAAGGAAGCCAAAGCCACGTTTTCATCAACTACCATAAAAAGGCCTAACATTTTCAACCATGGGAGTGCTAGTTTGAGCTCTACAAAGCCACAATCGTCTACAACGAAACCATGTGTCCAGAAAGTTGAAGGGAAGCCAATGACTTCAGAAGCAATTTTTAAAAAAAGATGCCATAAATGTGGAGGACTTGGGCATATACTAGCTGATTGTCCTAACAAAAAGGCATTCTCCATCCTTGAAGGAGCAACTGATGAAGAAGGTTATAATGAAGAGCAACATGATGAAAACTTGGAAGAAGTAGCTGAATATGGAGATGATGGAGAATACCTTATGATCCAACGCGTTCTTCATTCAGATTCTAGCAAGGAAGAACCATGGTTGCGACACAATATTTTTCATACACGTTGTACATCTAAGGGAAAGGTTTGTACACTCATCATTGATCCAGGAAGTTGCACTAATGTAGTTTCACTAATGTAGTTTCTGAAGAAATGGTTAACAAATTGGGGTTTGAGACAGCCATTGCAGAAGCCATACCGCATGAGGTGGTTGGATGAAGGAAGGAATGCACAAGTTAATAAACGATGCCTTATTCCTTTCTCTATTGGCAAGAATTATCAAGATAAGGTCTGGTGTGATGTAATGCCTATGGATGCTTGCCACTTACTGCTTGGGAGACCATGGGAATATGGCAGAAGGGCAATTCATGATGGCTTCAAGAACACTTACTCTTTCGTCAAGGATGGAAAGAAGATCAAATTGCTCCCAATGAACCCTGAAGATTTAAAGTCAAATCCTAAAATGAAGGAGACATACATTACAAGAGCTAAGGTAGAAGAACACTTGAAGGAAGGAGAGGAAGTGCTTATTGTAGTACCTAAGGAGGTGGAATCTATCACCAAGAAAGAGTCATTAGAAGTCAATGACCCACGACTTCAAGCAATATTGGATGAGTTTTATGATATTGTTTCTGATACTACACCTTCTTCCTTACCACCAATGAGGTCAATAAAACATCAAATTGATTTAATTCCAGGTGCACCACTTCCTAATAAATCAGCATATCGAATGAATCCAACACAGCAAGAGGCACTTCAACGACAAGTCGAGGAACTACTAGATTGTGGACTAATAAGGGAAAGTTTAAGTCCTTGTGCTGTACCTGCCTTGCTTGTTCCTAAGAAAGATGGATCTTGGCGCATGTGTGTTGATAGTCGTGC